CAGATGAACTCAAGCCATGCCCAGCTGGGCTCTGCAGGAAATCAGAGCAGTGAGAAGGGAGAAAAGTCGCCGAGCCTTGGGACTGGAGCACATAGAACCGTAATCATAGAATCATGGAATCATAGGATCACAGCATGGTTGGGCTGGGAAGAACCTTACAGCCCCCAGGCCCACCCCTGCCATGGTCTGGCTGTCCCCCAGCTCAGGCTGCCCAGAACCCCTCCATGGCCTGGGGCACCTCCAGGGATGGCACCCACAGCTCTTGGCATCAGTGCCAGCGCTTCACCACCCTCTGAAAGAATTTACTTCTAACATCTCGCCTAGATCTCCACCTTTCAGTACAAAGCCATTCCTCCTTGTTCTATCCAACTATGCCCTTGTAAATATTCCCTTTCCGTAGAGGACAAGGGCTTTCCTTTAGCCCTTTTAGGCACTGGAAGAGCTGCTGTAAGGTCTCTGCAGAGCCTCCCCTGGGCTGAGAATCACCGAACAGACTCAGAAGCACAGAACCACCCCATTACCTGCACTCTGCCCCTTCTATCTGCCCTCACCAGTGCTGCCCTATGCCCAACTCCCAAGCGGCCTCAGCCTCGTGCTCTGTGTCACTGCGCACAAGCCCACGCATGGGATCAGTGGCCCTGAGATCCAGCCCTGCCCGGTGCTGGATGAGGGCGGCCAGGACAGGGGCCGGGGCAGCTGCAAGCATCCTCAGCCATGAAGGACGGGCACTGGGCGCCGGGGGCTGGATGGGGTCATGCTCTGCTTCCTGCCATCCGACCTTCCTGCAGTTGAGATGGTGGTGGTGGGAGCACACAGCTGAGGAAACAGCTTCACCTGCAGCCCCGTGGCTCCTCTGAAGCACAAAGCCTCGGACACCTCTCTTGCTGGGGACAAGGCAGCAGGTGCCTCCGGTCCCAGTGCCAGGTGTCACCGCCCGCCCTGCTGGTGGGACCGGCACAGCTCTCCTCCACCACCATGCACACGCCGTCCTGCAGCCGGGCACAACAACAACAAGGAATAATTGGTTAATGCGATTTCAAAACATGATTTGCAATTATAACTCGCCAGAGAGCATTCAATGGCCCCACACACCGGGAGAGTGTTTTTCTCCTTCATTTCTTCCTGGAAACTCTAACCCAATTAACTTTACAGAAGCCAGGAGCAAAACACGGCTCCGCAGATCTGATGGGGTGGGTTTATCACCACACTCAATCACAGCCTCCCAAGAGTGTCCTGCAGCGTTGGTGATGAGGGATGTGGGGATGGGGGACGGGGCACAGCCCAGTCCTGGCCGCCATGTGCCAGCTCTGCTTGGACGCCCCACGTCCCACCAAGGGGATGAGCAATGCCCACCTTGGCAGCATTCCTCCTGCACCCAACATTGCCTCTCAGCTCCAGCCCCAGCCCAGGCAGCAGTGTCACTGCTGCCCCACAGCCCCGTGGGGCTGGGCATCCTCACATCCCTGTGTCCTGGCCCCACACGCAGGCCCCCGTTCCTGAGCTCCCTGCCAGGTTTGCCCTTCACAGCTGCTGATCATCATTGTTGAACAACAACCTAATGATGTTCCCAAACTGCTCGCTGCCAAACTGCTCCCACCAGTGTCTCCTGTTTCCAGGCCCTGCTGCCCTTCCTGTCCCCATAACCCCAAGCACTGCCACTGCTGCCTTTCCCTCGAGTAGATTGAGAGGCCACAGGTGCCGCTGCCACCCTGCACGTGTCCCTAAACGTGCCTGGGCCAGGCATGGGGCGAGGCCTTGGGGACACCAGCTCTCAGACAAGCCTCACTAGGCACGGGGTTAATGTTTAGCAGGGTAGGAGGGGGGCCTACATGGGGCGGAAGGGATGTGTGGGGTAGCTGTGGGGCGCACACAGTGCTGGCCCTCCAGCACACTCCCCAGCATGCAGCCATGCAGAGCAGCACGGAGCTGGGCCGCCCCAGGGAGCAGCGCTGGCAGCAAGGAGCTGCAGATGGCCAGGGAGCTGGAGACAGGGAGGAGTGGGGGCATGGGGGGGTCCCAGCTGGGCACCAGCACTGCCTTTCTTGGGTGCTGCCCAAGACACCGTGCATGACAGCAGTGCCCCCCATCATCCTCACCCTGCCCCGTTACCCATCCCTTCCTCTGCATCCCCCTTCTCCCCTCCACTTTTCCCCTTTCTCCTCACTCGTCCTCCTCCCCTTTCCCCCTTCATCCTCTCCTCCTCCTCTACCCCCTTCCCTTCCCTCCACTCCTCTCCCAATCCTTCCCAAACCCTTCCTTCTCTTCTTCTCCTTCCCTTTTCCTCAACCCCTTCCTCCTCCTATCCTCCTCCTCCTCTTTCCCCTTTCCTCTCCAACCCCTTCCCCTCATCCTTCTCCTCCTCCCCTTTTCTCCTTTCCCCTCTCCCTCCTCTTTTTTCCCCCTTCCTCCCTTCCCTTTCCTCCCCTCTCCCTCTTTTTCCCCTTCCCTTTCCTCCTCTCTTCCTCCTCCCCTTCTCCCCGTTCTCCCCATCTTCCCCAACTCCTTCCTGCTCCCTTCCCTCCCCCGCCTCCCTTTTCCCCTTTCATCTATATCCCCTTTCTCTCCTCCCCTCTTTCCCGTTGGCTGCACCTACGGCCTTGACCCGTCCTCGCGGCCGTCCCCGTCTCCCCAGGGCTGTCCCCACGGCCGAACAAACAGCGGACGGCCCCGTCCAGCCCCCGCCCGCCCCCCGCCGCTCCCCGCGGGGCCGCCCCGAGGGCTGAGCGATGCGCCGCGGACGGGACCCGGCTGCCCCCGCGCGGCGGCGGCGGGACGTGCGGTGCGGTGCGGTGCGGTGCGGTGCGGTGCAGCGCCGCGGGCTGCGGCCGTGCGATCCCCAGCGGTGCGCTGCCCGCTCGGGGCTCCCACCCACGGGCATCCCATCACTCTGCGTGCACCCTCCGCTCCAGCTCCGTAGTGCCCCGCCGAGGGATGGCAGCCTGGCGGCGGATGGCAGCCGGGGCACGACACCCTCCCCGCGGGCACCGTCACCCCACAGAGCCGGCCGCGACCCCACGGAACGGTCCCACACCCACGGCCGGGCAGGGCACGGGGGCGCGGGGCCGGGCCGCGGGGCTGCGGTGACATTTCCCAGGCGCCGCGGGCAGGGAGCGGGGCCAGCGCGGCCGTCAGCGCCGTGCCCCGTCCCGTGGGGGGCACGCAGCACACTGCGCCCTTTGTTGGGGACGGGGATCCGTCCCCGCGGCCCTCCCTCCGCCCCCGCCCGGGCCCGGCACCCGGCGGCAGATCGGGATAAAGGGAGGGCGGCAGCCGCGGCCCCGTTCCAAGGCAGCAGCGGGGACGGGAGGCGGAGGTGAGGCTGCGAGCGGTTGCTCTGGGGGGCTTCCACACTGCGCTGGGTGCTGCCGTGGGGATGGAGGCACCGGGCTGAGCCGAGCGGCACTGCGGCGCCGGGCGATAAGAATCCGCTGTGCTTCCATAGCCACCGCCGTGCCATCAGCGGCCACTTTTTGCACGGCGTCCGGGCCCGTGGGGACCGCTGCGATGGGCGGCCGTGATGGGATGATCTGGCCGGCACATGGTGGGGAGGTGGGGGAGGACCTGGTACAGCAGGGACAGTGACACGGGATTAGCTGGCACGGCCGGAGCGGGCCTAATCCTGGCAGGAATGTGCAGGGGCCATGCGGGGAATGGGTCTCTGTACTGGGGCAGTGCTCGTCAGCCGCGGGTTGAGGAACTGAGTGGGAGCTGCGCTGAGCCCATCGGGGTCCTGATGTGCCGCATCCTTGTCCGGGAGCCAGGGGAGCCAGCCCAGCTCAGGGGAAGACGGCTCCGGGGCAGCGGTGCCCCCTGTCCTTGCTACGTGCCAATGGCACGGCTCGCATCCCGGCGCGTCAAATCCCCACTGCAGCCTCCCCACGGCTGAGGAGCCGCAGCCTCAGGCTGCACAAGTCCCCAGCCCGGGCCCCAGGTGCCCCCGCCGGGCAGGGGCTGCCGCTGGTGGTCCCTATGCTGCCAGCAGGGCCGAGCAATGGTGGCTGTTCCCGGGGGGCCCCTCACACCGCACAGACAAAGCGCGTCGCTGGGGTCTGCCCGGGGACCGGAGACAAAACTGTGCTGAGGAGCAGCGGGGCGGAAAATCGATGCATTCCCGCATTCCTGGGGACGGGAGGAGAGATCCAGGGACGCTCCATCCCATCCCGTGACCCCAGCACCGGCCCACCCGTCCCCGTCACGCGGGAGCCGGCGCAGGGCGGGGGGGGGGGCAGCGGCAACGTGGCACCCCCCCTCTGGGCCTGCCCGGCCCTGGCAGCTCTGGCGCTGTTTTTCCGGGACACGGCCGCGGCCCTGAGACGCCTGATGGCTTCTGCAGGTGGGGCCGCTGCTGGCGGGGCCTGCCGAGCTGCTGGCACCGGCCGCGGGCTGCCACCGCACCACGTCCTGCTGCTGGAGGCAGGGGACATCCCCCGGCCTGGGACCGGCACAGGGATGCCCAGGGGATGGATGCGTCGGCACCGCCACAGCCGGTGATGGGGACGCGTGTTGAGAGCGGCCAGGCCCTGCCTCTCGTCCCGCAGCGCCTCGGGCAAAGTCTTGCAACGCGGCAACCCGTGACGCAGCGTCCTCGTCCTCGTGGAGCGCGGCCAGCACCCACCCGCTGCCACCGGGACGAGAGCGGGGTGGCCCTGGCAGCGTCCCTCCACGGCCCCCCCGGCACAGCCGCTGCCGGCACCTCTCGGCACTTGCTATTCTTGGCAGCAGCGGCTGGAAAATGGGAGGCAGCGCAGGAATTTTGTTTGCTGCAGCCTGGGCCCGCGCCAGACATCTGGGCCGCAGCTGAGCGCGGCCCCCCCCCCCCCCCCCCCCCGGGCCCTCGAGCCCGCAGCTGCCCCTGGGTGCGCCCAGCGGGTGGCACCGGGGTGGCACGGCCGTGGCACGGCGGGCGTTCGGGGCGGCGGCACTGGGTGCGGCGGCACGTGGAGGGAGGTGGAGGGCACGGCTGTGCGCGTGTCACACGGCCGCGTGGGCAGAGCGTGCGTGCATCGGTGCACACGCACGATGGGCGTGAGGGCACGGCGGGCGTTGGGGAGCAGCGAAGGCTGCATCTGTGCTCTGCGCGCTGGTGCAAGGCGTGTGCGTGGCAGCGGGTGCGGTGCGTGTGCATTCGCACGTTGTGTACAGGTGCGTGCACCCGTTCGCGCTTGTTTACTTACAGGTGTGTGCGTGCACTTGCCTGCACTGTGCGGTCCCTGCCCAAGCCTGCATTTGCACGTGCGTGTTTGCGTTTGCACGGCTGCTCTCGCGCACTTTGCACACGTGTGCGTGCGCTCGCAGGTGTGTCTGCAGGTGCTCGCAGGTGGCCGCGTGCCCGCGCGTGTTTGCACGTGTCTGCACGCTCGTGTGCCCCCGGGCCGCCCCCCGCCGCCCAGCCCCGCCCCGCCCCGCCGGGGCCGCCCCGCCGCCCTCCCGCGCTGCCGCGGGGCGGGGCGGGACCGTGCGGGACCGGGCCGAGCCGCGCCGAGCCCAGGTGGGTGCCGCGGGACGGGGTGGGGGACGCGAGGCGGCACCGGAGGCTCCGCGGGATGGCACTGAGCGCGGGGGGCACTGAGCGCGGCGGGGCCGGGGGTCGCCCTTCCCGATGTCGGCGGAGCCGCCGCTCGGTCCGGCCCGCAGCGGGCGCGGTGCGCGGCAGGCAGCCCGTGCGGCGTTCACCCAGCGCGGGGCAGAGCGCTGCGTGCGGGGCGTCGCGGCGGGGATTAAGGAAGGCTTAAACGGCGGGGAACGCGGCGGGTCCCGTCCGCGCCCCGATGGCGAGCCTTCCCGTCCGTGCCCGATGCGGGGCAGCGCTGCCAGCCCGAAGCGGGACCGCGGGTGGGGGGCCGTAACCGGAGCTGACGTCCCCCCGCGCTCTGCCTGCAGCCCGGGGGCCGCGATCCAGCCCCGGCCATGAGCCGCCCGCCGCTCCTGCTGCTGCTCCTGCTGCTGCCCGCCGCCCGCTGCCCCGCACCTGCCGTCACCCCGCGCCTCCGGCTGTCCTTCCCGGGTGAGTGTGCGACGAGGCGGGCGGGGGGAGCGCGCACTGCAGGTGCAACCCCGCGCCGCGGCTCCGTGGCTCTCGGCGCCGGGCGCCGAGCGGGGCACCGTCCCGCTGCCGCCGGCCGTGGGTACGGGGTCCCGGCCCGCAGCCGCCACAAAGAGCCGTTTGTTCCCACCGCGAGGGATTAGCTCGGCAGGGCAGAGAAAAGGCCCTTTCTCCCCCCCGGCCGCCCGCTGAGAGAGATGGATGGTGGCATGGTGGGCCGCGGCGGGGGCGGCCAGGCCGGGAGAGCCGGTGGGACGGGTCTGGGGGAGGGGATGGGGCGGCGGGGGGTTGCGGATCCTGCCCAAAGCACCTCGGGGTCGGTCACGCATGGAGCTGGAGCTCGGCTCTCAGCCCTCGCTGCACCGAGGAATGGGGTCCAGGCTCCCAGAAACGGGGTCGTGGCATTGGGATGGGAGTGCGCCCTGGGGATCCGTCCGTGTTGGGCAGGGTTGTGTTGGGCAGGGCTGAGCAGAGTGGCCCGGCCCTGCAGAGCTGCGGGCCCGCCACGGGCTGCGACTCTTCCAGCTGGAGCGCTCGTGCTGCTACGAGGCCCTGCTGCTGGATGAGGAGCGCAGCCGCCTCTTTGTGGGCGCCAAGAACCACCTGCTGTCACTGAGCCTGGACAACATCAGCCAGCGGGACAGGAAGGTAAAGGAGGCGGGTAGAGGGGGGTTGGCGATTCGTGATCCTTGAGGTCCCTTCCAACCCTGGCCATTCTGTGATTCTGTGATTGAGGTGGCATCCTGTGGTGTGATGTTTGGGTATGGTGCCCTTGGCTGGGCGTGGGGGATGCCACCTTTCCTTCCCATCCACAGATCTACTGGCCAGCTCCAGTGGAGTGGAGGGAGGAGTGCAACTGGGCCGGCAAGGACATCACAGTGCGTGCGGGATGGGGCGGGCGGGCAGCGTGGGGGCTGCAGAAAGGGCTCGGTACCACCCTGCACCACCAGGCCGAGTGCATGAACTTCGTGAAGATCCTGCACGCCTACAACCGGACCCACCTGTACGCCTGTGGCACCGGTGCCTTCCACCCCACCTGCGCCTTCGTGGAGGTGGGCCAGCACACCGAGGTGAGATGTGGGGTGCCATGGTGCAGCGTGGTGCGACACGGCACTGCCGGCACTGACCCCACTCTCCCAGGACCACATCTTCAAGCTGGACGCACGGCGCGCTGAGGATGGCAAAGGGAAGAGCCCCTACGACCCCCAGCACACAGCCGCCTCCGTTCTCGTGGGTAGGAGGGCAGCAAGGGCACTCCCAGGGCTCTGGCAGGGATTGGCAGAGCGGCTCCCGATGACCCTTCTCTCCATGCCCACCAGGCGAGGAGCTCTACTCAGGAGTGGCCACTGATCTGATGGGGCGCGACTTCACCATCTTCCGCAGCATGGGCTCCCGCCCGTCCGTCCGCACGGAGCAGCACGACTCCCGCTGGCTCAACGGTCAGTGCTGGGGGGTCTCTGCGCCCGGCGGGTCCCCGTGGGTGCCCACAGGCTTTGAATGTGCCACCCATCCACTCCCAGAGCCCAAGTTCGTGGATGTTTTTTGGGTGCCAGAGAGCGAGAACCCCGATGACGACAAAATCTACTTCTTCTTCCGCGAGATGGTGGTGGAGCGGCAGCAGGGACTGGGCAAGGCCAGCATCAGTCGCATCGGCCAGATCTGCAGGGTGGGTGTGGGCAGCCGCAGCGGGGCTGTGGGGCCGTGGTGCCACCCCCCAGCGGCCGTCCCTCTCCCCACAGAACGACGTGGGTGGGCAGCGCAGCCTGGTGAACAAGTGGACGACGTTCCTCAAGGCGCGCCTGGTGTGCGCCGTGCCCGGCACCGACGGCGCCGACACGCACTTCGATGAGCTCCGTGAGTGCCCACTGGGATGGCCGGGTGGTGCCTGGAGGAGCTGTACTGATGCTTCCCATGCCCACAGGTGACGTCTTCCTGCTGCAGACAAGGGACAAGCGCAACCCCTTGGTCTATGCCGCCTTCTCCACCTCCAGGTAATGCCCGTCGTGCGCCCTGCGTGTGCCACGTGCTGATCCTCATGCCCCATTTCTCTCCCCAGCTCCATCTTCCAGGGCTCGGCCGTCTGCATCTACACCATGGCCGACATCCGCCGGGCGTTCCTGGGCCCCTTTGCACACAAGGAGGGTCCCAACTACCAGTGGGTGCCATACCAGGCACGCGTGCCGTACCCCCGCCCGGGCATGGTAGGTGGTGTGGCATGGTCTGCCGGGGGATACAGAAACCCTGCTGACCCAGCTCTGCTTCCTGCAGTGCCCCAGCAGAACCTTCGGCACCTTCAGCTCCACCAAGGACTTCCCAGATGAGGTGATCCAGTTTGCCCGGCACCACCCACTGATGTACAACCCGGTGCTGCCCCATGGCCAGCGGCCCCTCTTCCTGCAAGCTGGCGTGCCCCACACCTTCACCCGCATCGCCGTCGACCGGGTGGCTGCCGCCGATGGCCACTACGACGTCCTCTTCATTGGCACAGGCACGTGGCACCCCAGCTCAGGGGCTGAGGGCTGGGGCTATCCCTAGGCCCCCCGCTCACCATCCTCTCTGCAGATGTGGGCACTGTGCTGAAGGTGGTCTCGGCACCGCAGCAGAGCTGGCATGGCATGGAGCCGCTGCTGCTGGAGGAGCTGCAGGTTTTCCAGGTGGGTCCCTGTGCTGGGGGCTGCACACCTCCCGTGCCCCATCTATAACTGCTGCCCTTGCTCTCCTGCAGGACGCGTCCCCAGTCACCAGCCTGCAGCTCTCCTCCAAGCGGGTAAGGAGGAGAGGGCTGAGCCCTGCCGGACTCACGGGCCCCATCGCAGGGGTGCTGAGCCCCCTCTCCCTGCAGCAACAGCTCTACGCCGGCTCAGCCACCGCCGTGGCCCAGCTGCCCCTGCACCGCTGTGGCGCCTACGGCAAGGCGTGCGCCGAGTGCTGCCTGGCACGGGACCCGTACTGCGCCTGGGACGGCACCGCCTGCACCCGCTTCGTGCCCAGCACCAAGAGGTATGTCGCGCTGGGACCCCACGCCCGGACACGAGAGCGCACCGTGCAGCCCACGCCTCTCCGCAGGCGCTCCCGCCGGCAGGACGTCCGCAACGGGGATCCCAACCTGCTGTGCTCCGAAGGTGCGTGGGGCTGCGGGGCGCGGACGGCGAGCCTGCAGCAGGGTGACGACGGACGCGGGGTCTCGTCCCGCAGAGCCATCGCAGGGCCGCGTGCCTCAGCGGCAGCTGTACGGGGTGGAGGGCAGCAGCGCTTTCCTGGAGTGCGTGCCCCGCTCGCTGCGCGCCCGCGTCTCGTGGACGTACCAGCGCGGTCCCGACGCTCCCCAGCGCGAGGTGAGGGCCGCGGGGCGGGGCGGGGGATCGCTCCCATCCCCGTGCCCTGACCGCCGCCCGGGCCGCAGGTGCAGCCGGACGAGCGGGTGGTGCGGACGGAGCGGGGGCTGCTCCTGCGCAGCGTGCAGCTGCACGACGCCGGGCTCTACGTGTGCCGGGCCACCGAGCAGGGCTTCACGCAGCCCGTGCTGCGCCTGGCGCTGGGCGTCCTCGGCGGCGCCGCCGCCGCCGCCCCCGCCGCCCCCGGGGGTCGCGCTCCCTGGTACCGGGACTTCCTGCAACTGCTCGAGCGGCCCGAGGCGGCCTGCGGGCGGCTGCGGCCCCCCCCTCCCGCCCCGGCCGGGCCCCCCGCGCGGCGGCGGGGCGGGACGGAGTCGGAGCGCGGTGCGGAGCCGCGGGCCGCCCGACGCCGCCGTACCCGGGGCGGGCCGAGAGCCGAGCGCGGGCCCCGCAGCGCCTCTGCCCGGTGAAGCCCCCCCGGGGCTGCGCGCAGCGGACCGGGAGCGGCCCCCCGGTTCGGCTGAAGGCGCGGGGCGGGGGGGCGGTGTATTTATTGACGGCTGGGAACGGTGGGGGGCGGCCCCGCACGGCGTAGGGGTCCCGGGACTCGGGTGGGGGTGGGTTCGGGCGGGAGAGGGCCGTCCCCCTCGGGCTGTACTGATGGAGCTCAATAAAGCAGAGGAGGCAGCACGGGGCCCGGCTCAGCGGTGTGTGCCCAGCCGGGAGCGTCCCCCCCTCTCCTTATCCTGTAGGATGCCGGGCGCTTCTCCCCGCCCCTCGGCTACACTTTCGTTTCCTGCAAAACCGAAACCCGAGCTCAGCACTTCCCCGGCTCGGCTCAGCCCCGGCCATGACCGCAGCCTGCGGTGACGCAAGCCCAGCCCCGCTCCCAGCCCCAGTCCTGGCGCTGCGGGCACAGCTCCGGGCCCCCCGCAGTGGCATCACCACCGCCGTGCCCAGCTGGTCCGGGGACAGGGTGCCCCTGTCTGTCCCATTGCTGCCACCCCCCTCCGTGGACCGCGGGCGATTCCACAGGAACCGTTTGTTCTCCCCCAAGCAATAGCATCCCAGAGCGGTGGACATACGCTGTCTCCCTGCTCCCTGGTGTTCAGGTCCCCCCGATCCACTCCACACCCCCAACAGTACGAGAATGTTTCACAAGGTTTTATTCCCAGGCTTGGGGCAGGGCTGCAGGCTGGGGATTAGGGTAGCTCAGGAGGGCACAAACCATCGGGGAAGGAGTCCCGCACCACCCCGCAGCCGCAGCAGCAGGTAGATGGTGCTGTGGGGCTGCACGCCGTAGTGCTCCAGCCTGTGGTTGTTCTCCAGCTCCCTGGTCTCGTAGGTCAGGCGCTGCTGCTCCACAGCCAGGCCCTGCCGTGCACAGATCTGCTGCTTCAGCTGCCGCACGGTGTCGCTGGGCCGTACGGTGTAGACAGTGGTCTTGTTGTTGCTGTCCTTCACCAGGACATCCATCTGCTGGGGCTCTGTGTGCAGCAGCAGCAACGTGACGTCGTAGAAAAGGCCATGGGTGGCCAGGCTGTCCCCATCCTGCAGCACACTGGGGCAGTTGCTGAAGTTCTGCTGCAGGGCCAGGCGCTGCTGGTAGCAGGGGATGCCCCACTCCTTCTCTATCTCCCTCTTCAGCTCCCAGACTTGGGTGCTGGGTCTGACTTTCCTGCTCAGGCTGATGCCCTGCAACTGCTTCACTTGCACCGTCACAGATCGGGCAGGCTGTGGGGACACACGGAAGGTGGGTTATAGCCATAGGGGAACAGGTGGGACCACAGTGCTGCCGTGTGAGCAGCCCTACCTGCACATCCCAGGAGCGGGTAGCATTGACGCAGGGCAGTGAATGACGGCTCCGGGCTGCCTCCTTGGCCACCAAGTCCCAGCTCTTGTCTTGGCCCAGGATGCCAGTGGGGTCAGCAGGATCCAGAATGACAGGGCTGCAGGCACAGAGAGGGTCCTGCCATCAGGGCACAGCCCCTGGAGCACAGCAGTAGGATGGGGACACGCTCCTTACCGGGGCTGGCACAGCTGCTTCTTCAGGTAGGCACCGATCCTTTCATCCTGCAGGGAATAGTACTTCTCCCAGTAAATACAGATGTCCTGGTACCGGCCAAGCAGCTCCAGCACAGTGCAGAAGCCCTCGGCCATGCTGAAGTCCTCCCTGTCTGTGCCCTCCTCCCAGGCATAGATGGTCAGCAGCTCCAGCGCATACTTGGGGGGCAGCTTAGCATTGGGGTACTGCGGCTTCAGCACCTGGGGGCACACGAGTGGGCAGCTGGTGGGGCTCTGAGGTGCCTGTGGGGGCACAGAGCAGCCAAGTAACCCCACTCACTTGCTTGTACCAGTGCTTGACCAGGCGCACCAGGTCCTTCAGCTTAGCAGGGCGCCACTTCACAAAGTTCTTCTGCAGTTCTGTGAAGCTGGGGGAGAAATCGCCAGGGCCACAGCACGTGGCCAACAGCTTCACATAGACCTCGGGGTGTGGGCGGGCATCCTCAATCACCTGCCCTGTAAAGGTGAGAGGCACCTTGAGCCCCGTCCTGCACCCCACAGCCCAACAGATGTCCCCCACCCTGAGCCCCCATCCCACCCCGTGCCCCATCCTACCCAGCACATCGTAGGCAGGCAGGATGTCGACGTCGATGGACTCGCCGGAGGTGTAGGAGGAGAGGGTGAGGCTGAGGGAGCGCGGTCTGTCCCGGCTGTCCTTGTAGCACGGAGTGCTGATTCTGACACTGGACGACGCCGGGGGACACTCGTAGAGCCGCCTCTCGATGATGGCGAGGATGCGGCCCCGCTGCTCCTCCTGCTCCTGGTAGCTGGAGAAGCAGTTGACGAAGAGCACCACATCGGCATCCGAGTTGTTGCGCAGCGCCGTGCCCTTCCCCGCCGAGCCGCCCTGCGGGTACATGGCACGGCTCAGCCCCCGGCCCCCGGCCCCCACCCCAGGCGCAAGGCGGCGGGGGGCTGCGGGCACCTTGACGGTCTTGAGTACGCGGATGCCCTCGAAGCAGCGCTCCTTGAGGAAGTCGCAGATGTCCTTCACCGTCTGCCTCACCGCCGTGCTGAATTCCGGGCTGGGTTGCAGATGGGCGGCCACCCAGCCATCCAGCTCGCGCTGTCTCACGCTCTCCAGCCCCATCGCCAACCTCGCACCCAGCTCCATCCCGCTCACTGCGCCCCGACGCCGCCCGCCGTAGCTTAAAACCCCGAGGCCTCCGCCCCCAGCCGGGTGGTCCCGCCCCTCGGCCACCCCCCTTTCTCGCCCTCCCCCCGCCGTTCCCCCGGGGCACCCCTGGGAGGTCCTCGCGCTGCCGCCGCTTTGGGGACGATGGTCCCCATCTCCCGGGACCCCGGGATGCAGTTACCCCGCAGCCGGCACGAGCACCGAACGTGTCCCCGCAGCCCAGCTGGGAACGCAGGGACGGTGACTCGGCGGCCGCCCTTTCGGTTTCGGTTCTGGCGACGGTTTCGGTTCTGCGTCAGTTTCGGTTCTGATATCAGGAGCGGCCGCTGGAAACGAAAGTGCGGGGAATGGGCGGGGAAAGGCAACAGCGACGGGTGGGGGGGTGCGGGAAGGGGACAGGGATGGGGAAAGGGATGGGGACAGAGACGGGACAAGGTGGGACTGGGATGGGACAGAGATGGAGACAGAAGTGAAACAGAGATGGAGACAATAGCGTAACAGGGTAGGGATAGGGATGGAGACAAAAATGGGGACAGGGATGGAGACTGATGGGATGGGAACGTGAATGAAAATGAAACAGATGGAGACAGAATAGGAATTGAGATGGGGACAGAAATGGGATAGGGACAGGAATGGGGACAGAAGTGGAATGGTTGGGGACAGAGCTGAGAAATAGGGGTATAGGGATGGGACACAAATGGAGCTGGGGATGGAACAGGGGTGGGATGGAGCTGGGGACACAGCTAGACATGGGGATGGATACATGGGTGGACAGGGATGGGGCAGGGATGAAGCATTGTGGGATGGGGACAGAAGTGGGACAGGAATAGCATGGAGCTGAGCACAGAGCAGGGACAGGAATGGGGACAGAGACAGAACAGGGCAGTGCCAGAGCTGGGGGTAAGTGTGGGTACAGCAGGGATGGGGCAGGGATGAGTCATTGAAGGGGACAGGGATGGAGTTAGAGATGGGACAAGGATGGGAACGAGGATGGGGACAGGAAGGAGGAGTTGGCAGGAGGACTCATGCCATCAAGACAGAGCTGCCTTGTGCCCAGCTCAGAACATTGTCTACCAACAGCATATATGTACAGCGGAGTATTTAATGCCTGGGGCTGCCCCACTGGGGGCTGCTCCCTCGTTTTTATTTTTTTAACCAAAAATAGGGTAACAGGAGAGGCAGAGGGTGCCATCGTGCTCTGTGCCATGCCAGCTGTCTGCTATGGCCCCTGGCTGCCCAAACGTGGCACAGTCCACGGGGCCGACCTTGGTGCTCTGTGCCTCCCAGGGCCATCCTGGCACTGCCATGCGCTGGGGGAGCAGCGGCAGGCACGTGGGAACGTGGTCATGTTGGCGACTTCCTAAGCCTCAATGGCAGGAGGTAATGATAAAGTGATGGGAGGGTGCCTCCTGCTGGGGCAGGTGCCCATCCTCGCAGCCCTTCCCTTTCTTCAGCAGCGTGGCAAGGCCAGGATTGCCCCCATGTGTCCCAGGGATGGGGCGATCTGTGCGGGGCTGCTCCGTGGGGCGGCTCAGCGGCGCTGGGCGCTGGCATTGAGGTGAGCCCAGAGCTGCCCGCTGGCCGCCCGCAGCTGGCGCATGGCGTCCTCCTGGCTCTCCAGCCACTGGGCCAGCGCCTGCACCGACTGGCTCTGCAGCACTGTGGGGAGCATGGGGCATGGTGGGGACCGGCTGTCGGCTGTCCTCAGACATTGCCACCTCCCTCCACCCAACCCACAGCCACGTACCGCTCAGGTAGATGGCCAGCGTGGCCAGGACCAGGCTGGCCAGAGCCAGGAAGCCCAGCAGAGCGAGGAAGAAGGAGTGCCCGGGGCAGGGGCACGTGGTTGGAGGCGGCACGGGGCGCAGCGTGGGCAGGTGCGGGGGACTGCGGGGCGCTCGGTGCAGCCGGGCACTGGATGGAGTCGGGCCATTCCCTGCAGCAGCAGGGATAAGGGGGTCAGCACCTGCCCTCAGCCCCCTGCTCCGCAGCCCCTCGCCCTGTTCTTGTCACCTTCTGTGCCCTTGTGCCCAGCGGAGGCCCAGTGCAGGTCACTGATGGACGCCACGGGGTGCAGGCTGATGGCTCCGGGGTCCATTCCATCGGAGTCAGCGGGCTCTGCTGGCACGGTGCCCTCTGCCCTTCCCACACCATCTGCAGGGAACAAGGAAAGGGGTGAGTGCATCTCAGGTACCCCTGAGGTGACCGGAGGCCCCCAGCTACAATGACCACTTCCAGGATCAATGCCAGCCCTGGTGCCAGCCCAGTGCACAGGACTGCCGCTTGCAGAGTGGGGCCAGACTAGCGCTGGCCATCCCCCAGCCGCCGCGCGCTGTCATCGAAGCAGTTAGCAGGAGCCTTGTGGCTGCACTCCCAGAGTCTCGTTAGTGCAGCTGGCAGTCACACAGGGTGGGAAAGTGCTCCTGCCCCACAGTATCTGGGGCCACCTTGAGCCTGTGGGTTCAAGCAGCCCCTGGCTGTCACCTGGGTTGGCCGTATCCACAGTACTGTGTTGTAGAGCTCGGGGATGCACAGAGGGAGGAGTGGGTCCCATGCTGGTCCAGTGCCCTGTGCTGCAGTGGTATATGCCCAGGGGATGGGCAGAGCAGCGTGCAGGGCTCCAGCTCGCTCAGCACTGTTTCAGGAAGCAATTGGGGCAGAGCGAGGGTACGTTTTCATGGCGTTTGCACGGTGGTGAGCAGTGGGCAGAGCTGATGGCCTTGTGCCCCCGCCTAGGATCAGGGCTGGTGCTGTGCTGGGGCCACAGGGCTCCAAGGGGCTGGTGTGCACCAGGTCAGCGCCCTTTGGGGCTGGGGGCTCCCAGGCCCCCCAAAGCACCCTGCAGGCACTATGGGCCAAACCCCTCACTGCAGGCTGCCCCCACAGCCTGCCCCTCTGCAGCCTGCGGTGCTGTGCCAGCCGCTGTCCCCTCCGTCCCGCAGCGCTCTGCACCCCTTCCCTCCCTGGGCTGGCATCCCTGTGGGCTGGGCAGCGTTTGGCCATAGCCACTGAACAGCCCCAGTGGCACATCTGCCCCGGGTGCCAGGGACCCACACCCCTCACTGCTGCCAGCCTACCTTCTGCAGCCTCCCTGGGCATGTCCCCGGCCCCGCTCCCCTGGGCAGCCAGGCAATCTGGGGCCCCCGGGAACCGGGCGCTGGGCTCCTAGTGCGCCAACTGCTCAGCTTAAAATAGGACAGGATGAAATGTGTTTGGGGGGATAAAAATAGCCGTGGGGAGGGGGGCCCAGCAGCCGCAGGCAGCATGGTGCCAGCATGGCGGAGGGAGGGCAGAGCTCAGGGCCCTTCATGCACCTTTCCCTGGGCACGAGGCACAGCTGAGATAGGGAAACCGAAACACGGGTCTGTTCCTTCCTAAGCCATACCAGGGGTTCCTTGTGTACCCGACCTCGAGGATCCCCTCAGTTTTGCCCGTGAGGACCATGCAGCTGCAGCAGGATGGTTTATTTAAATTAATGAGCACGGGACAAACCGGTGCTGGCACAGCAGCCCCCAGCTCTGCTCACCAGCCCCAGCTGCTGCGCCGTGGGCAGGTGTCAGGGGTCTGGGGGCCATGGTGGCCGTAGAGGCCATGGGTGAGCACAGGGCAGGCGGCAGGGCTCTGCGGCTCCGGCTGCATGCAGTCCTGGCCAGCCCAGCCATTGTAGCAGTGGCAGCGGAAGGGTGCCCAGGAGCCCACACCCAGGTGCAGCAGGATGCTCAGCTCCTGGGGCTGCCGCCGCACACAGCGCCCATGCCCGTGGCACTGCTCCAAGCTGCACGCCCGCGCGGCTGCTGTCACATTGGCCACATACGGCCCCAGGGTGGACACGAGGTAGTGGCGAAGGCTGCTGCAGCTCTCCTAGGGGGGAGGCAGCCATGAGGAGCGGCCCCACGGGGCACCCCGAGGCACCTCCTGAGCCTGTCAGTGTTCGGCTCCGGTGGGGTAGCGGTGGCCACACTCACAGCTGACTGGGAGTACGACATGTCGCCCCACAGCACCACTCCGGCCGTCCCCAGTGCCGCGCTCTCCCCGATGGTGTGCTCCAGGTCAGCCTGCAAGGACAGGGGGCCGTGTGGCCGGGTGGACACGCCAGGACACCGAGCACCACCCCCCGGCCTTACCGGCTCCAGGAAGCGGGGCGAGCGGCGGTAGGAGAGCCGTGAGTAGGCCATGACGGGCAGGCGGCCAGCGGCCAGGCGCAGAGCCTCGCTCAGCCGGTGGTGCACGTAGCGACGGCGCAGGCCGGGCGGCAGCAGCGGTGGCAGGTAGATGCTGGGGTACAGCGCGGCCGAGGCGGCCCACAGCCAGTGCAGGCGGTCATTGCGCCGCACTTCGGCCGGCCGGCAGCGCCCTGTGTAGTTGTCCACCTTGGCCCAGTCGCCGTTGAAGCAGTCGGGGAAGCGGTAGAAGCCCCAGAGTCCCGCCGGGCGCAGGCTGCGACCCAGCAGCAATGTCTGCTCCATCAGCGCCCGCGCTGCCCGCTCGAAGGCCTGCCGGGCCTGCCGCCGCCCCCGGCCCCGCTTCTGCGCCCATCGCTGCGAGGCCAGCTGGTAGACGCGCTTTGGACCCCAGTTGCGGGCCCACAGTGGCCGCCACTCCTCCCAGTCCACCACAGCCAGGCCACTGAACGTGGGGCGCAGGTGCAGCTGCACGTCGCCCGCAACCCGCGCCAGGTGGGCCTGGAGTGGTGCCTGCTGTGGGATGCCCCCGTTGTGCAGGACACCCTGCGGGGAGATGTAGGGGTACAGCCCAAACTTGTTCTTGTAGAAGATGGTGATGTTCTGCCCTGCAAAGCGGCCGCCCTGGTTCTCCACGATGCCGTAGTCGGCCAGGGGCAGCCCCACGCCAAAGCGGCGCTGGCAGCGGCCGCTGGGGATGTTCCAAAGCACGGCGAAGGGCTGCCCGCCTGCCAGGGCTGTGGGCACAGGGCTCTCCCCACCGGCGGTCCCCAGCACCAGCCAGGCCCACAGCACCAGCACCAGCCCCATGCCCAGGGGCACTGCCTGTGGGGAGAGAGCAGCAGGTGGGTACCCAAAATCCCACAGAGCCCAGAGCCGCGTCCTGCCCGGCACCTCAGCGACCTTCCTGGCTCCCAGCCCGGTTCTGAGCAGGGGCACTGTGGCCACTTTGTCTCCATTTGGTGGCTAGGTTGAGCCCCCAGGCCCGTCACGTATGGGTAAGGGGAGGAGGGCTGCATGCTGCTGCCCTGTGCCTGCCGCCAGCTGGGGATTAGGTGGCCGCATGACACAGCAAAGACAGCACTGATCCCTGCTCAGGGGCAGACGCTTCCCTGACCTTCCCACTCCCATTCTGGGGCCTCTCACAGCAGCAGCCAGGTTTGTGCCTGAGGCATGGCCACCCTTTCCCTTGTCCCCATTCTCCTCTACCCCAGGTCTGGTTGTCAGAGCTGGCCCAGAAGAACAGCACCAGGCACTCTGCCCGCGCTCGCTTTTAATCACCGGCTGTGCCCAGAGGCCTCAGATATCCTTCTTCATCCAGAAGATGGGCAGCCCCCTGGTATCACGGTGGGGGCTCTCCTGCAGGCTCTGCCCACTGTCCTCAGCTGGGCCTCCCCCTGCTCGGGATGAGGGTGGCAGAGGAGGTGGGGGGGGGAAGGTGGGAGGTGGCAAGGGAGGCTGGGAGGCTGCAGGCACCACTGGGGTGGCAGCTGTGTGGCTGGGAGGTACAGCGAAGGCCCGCAGCGCCGCAGCAGGCATGGCAGGGCTGAGGAAGGGCACGATCTGCACTGGCTCAGCCGGGACGAAGCCCAGGTGGGCATAGAACTGCTGCTTGTCATGAGTGCTGAGGTGCAGGCAGCGGAAGCCACGGGTCCGGGCGTAACGCTCGGTGGCCTCCATCAGCTGCCGCCCGTAGCCTCTGCCCCGCAGTGCCCGTGCCACCACCACGCTCTCCACAAAGAGGCCATTAGGCTGCCCAGCCACACGCGACAGCCGGACGTGTCCCACCAGGCAACGGGGGCAGGCGGGCTCAGCAGGGGCTGGTGCCCGCAGCAGTGCCAGGCAGGTGGGGAAGGCGTCAGAGGAGCGCTGCAGAGCATGCAGCCTCAGCGCCCGGCTCTTGCCCCACTCCTCGGCCAGCAGCTCGGCACAGGCCTCCAACAGCTCGGGGTGCTGATGCAGGGGCACCAGGCTGAGCTCCTCCGGCACGGGGCTCATTCTTCTCACTGCAGGGAGAGCGAGAAGTAATAGCTCAGCACCTGTGCTGCGATGTCACTACCATCACTCCAACGGGCACAGCACAGTAGCAGCTTCCTGGCCAGCAAAGCGACAGCCGTGCCGTGCCGTGCCGTGCCATGTGGCGCCGTCCCCTACTTAGGCACTCGTTAAGCCCCACCTCCCACCGCTGCCGCTCGAAGGCGAAGCCGCACTCAAAGAGGAACCCCGCTGCCAACGGCCCGTGGGTTGAGCAACCCGCCCCGCACTCCCCGCTCTCCTCTCCGCTGCCCCGCGGCCGGTCCAGCCCGCACCGCACGGCTCCGCACGGCACCACCGCCGCCACCCCCCGGCGCCGCCCCGCGCTCCACCGCCCACCCGGCGCGGCCCGGCCCCGCCGCTCACCCTCTCCCGCTCCGTCCCGCGCGGGTCCGGTCCGCGCCCCGCCTATCGCTCCGCCCCGCGCACCGAGCGCACCCTTCCCGCACACACAGCGCCCCCTGGTGGACGGAGGGCGCGCGCGTAAAAAGTTCGCATCTAGTTCTGAGGAAGGGGCCGGGGAGAAGGGCCAGGGTTAGGGTGAGATTTAGGGTGAGTTTTAGTGTTAGGGTTGGGTTGGGGGCTACGGTTAGAGTGGGCAGTGTGGAGTGCATGTTTTCCAGCCTGCCCTTGTGTGGTATGCAGTGTGCTGCCATCACAGCCCGCAAGGGGAATGGTGAAGGGCCATGGGGACAGCAGCAGAGCAGAGGGGAGGATGAGCAGGGTGAGCTCATGGAAATGGCCGTCCCCCATCCACTTCCAAGCCGTTTTGTGCATCTTTCCACCAAAAGCAAAGTTCATCCCAGCCTCAGCTCCGCGGGCAGCACTCACAACAGAACCGGAGGGGCAATGGGCCAGGTGGCTTTGGTGCCACATCATGACTTCAGCAAACAGTCACAGAATAATCCTACCATCCCTCAGAGGGCTGGTTTTAGCTAAAAAAAAAAATAATAATAAAGCAACTTGCTTATTATTTTATTTTATTTTATTTTGTGTGTGCGTGTGTGATAAGCAAAGGACTAACTCCTGTCTGAGCTTTTTCTCCATGGAGCAGGATTGCTCAGGGGCTGAAGCAATGGGGAGCTCTCAGCTGGAGCTGAGGGTCCAGGCAGGGAGTTCTCCTTCCCTTTCCTCCCTGGCCGTAGCAGAGAAGCACAGTTTTTATGTATGACACAGCCGTGGTGCTGTTCAAAGAAGACACAAAGGGAGTTGTGTGCCTGTTGGCGCCTCTCTTTCCTGAAGATGGCCAGCCCGAGGGTGGGAATCACTTGGCTTTGGGAGCACTGGGATATGTTCCCACCGCACTGCAAATGAAAATGACAAAGATGCAAAGGACAAATTAATGTATTAAAAGGTCTACCGTTTAATTCTGCAAGTCGTACGAGGGGTGGCTGAGGGAACTGGGAATCTTAAGCCCGGAGAACAGGTGGCTCAGAGGAACCGTCATTGTTCACTGCCAGGGGAGAAGCCCACCCCTCTCCTGCAGGAGCTCAGCAACACCAGGCCCTGCCCTCCATGGGGATGTGACCCCCCTTGGCTTGGTGTCCTTCTGCCTGCTCTCGACACCAGTGCACACCGCAGTGGTTCCTGCCGAGGGAGTTGCCTCGAAGGCCTGGACCTTTGTTGCCTGTGAGCGTCCACCACAGCGCCATGGAGAAGGTGGGAACACACTGGGGGTGGCGGGGTGGGGGTGGCCTCATGTGGCTCCAGGGCTGTGGTCTCTGGCATGGGGAGCATTGCCAGCAGGCAGAGGGAGGCCATCCTTCCTGCCTGCTGCATGGCCAGCACTGGGGGCCCCTCACTCTGCACTGGTGGCAAAAGCCTCCGGCCTGGGTGCCCTCAGCCCCTGTGAGATGTGATGGCATCACAGAGGGTGGCACGGAACGGCCGCTGTGACCCAGGGGGTGCAGAACAGAGCCAAGGCTGAGGGGCTCAGGCCGAGCTCAGTGCGACCTGGTGAGTTGAGCAGAGAGGAAGGGGCTGCCTGAGGCTGCCCAGGGAGGAGGGCTCCCCAGCGCTCGGGGCCTGAGCTGAGAACTCAGCCTCGTCCCGCTTCTCCCCTAGGTTGTCACGCGGAGGAGAAAGCCTGGTTTTGCTGGGACAGACACTCTGCGTGTGCTCGCCGTTTGTGCACACGATGTCCGAGGAGACACAGGAGGCCGCCGGCTCAGCGGAGCCAGGTGAGAGCAATGTACACCACTGGGCCTGCAGTGTCCCTTCCTCTCTACGGCCACCAGCCCTGCCCCTCAGCTGGCACGGCCAGCACACAGCAGCCCCTGCGAGAGCCCCCAGGGCACCTGGCCGTGCAAGCCACTCACTGCTGTTCCTCTCTCCTCTCCAGCATGCGTGCTCTGTGGTCAGGCAGATGCTCAACCAGACATCTATGGGCGCCAAATTGTCGTGTATGGGATATATTTCCATGCATTTTGCTGGGTGAGTTTCCTCGTGGCTCCTTCCACCATCCTCCAAACGATGCCTCCTTTCTGCCATAACAAGATCATGTTCTTCTGCCATACAGATATTTTCCAACATCCACAAAAAAGGAGATGATGAGAATAACTGCAGTCAACACCTCATACACACAGTGAGACAGGCAGAGCAGATGGTGAGCACCGGACTGGAACAGAGAGCTTGGTGCCCGGAGAGGCACGGAGAGCTTAGCCTGGTCCAGGGAAAGCAATCCCAGCCCTTCCAGCCAGCCCCAAGAGAAATCCCTGCTCTTGCAGACCAGCCCTGTTCAGCAGGCAGCTCTGCAGAGTGCCACCCAGCCCTGCCTCCATCCCGTGCCCTGCACAGAGGTGCGGGGCCCGCTGCGTAGGCCCTGAGCCTGCAGCTGATGGGAAATGCTCTGCTCTTTACAGCTCTGCTTCGTTTGTGGCAAGAGGGGGGCCTTCGTCACCTGTGCAGAGCCGGACTGCGACCGCAGCTTCCATCTCCCCTGTGCCTCAGAGGGTGAATGCATCACCCAGTACTTTGAAGATTTCAGGTAAGGGTTGCCAGGCATCGCCTGCGAGCCTCCAACCCCTGCTGTCAGCACCAGTCAAAGACACCTCACCATGACAACTCCCAGCAGCCTGACAGAGCCAGAGCCAAGGCCTGGGGCTCCTTCCTGTTCCTCTGCCCTCCTCACAGCACTTTTAATCTTGCCCATCCTTCCCATCTATCTTCCCACAGGTCCTTCTGCAGGGAGCACATCCCACGGCATGCAGTGGAGGCAACACCAATGCAGGACACAACCTGCATCATCTGCATGGAGCCCGTGGGGGACAGGAGGTCTTACAGCACCATGGTGTGCCCAGCCTGCCGACATGCCTGGTTCCACCGGGCCTGCATCCAGGTAGGAGCCCTCCCTTTGCCCAGCAGGCACAGCAGGTGCTCAGCAGCACCAGACCCAGCTCACGCTCATATTGCTTATATTTCTGTTGCAGGGAATGGCCCTGAACACCGGGCTTCACTGCTTCCAGTGTCCTCTCTGCAGAGACTCAGACCTGTTTCTGATAGACATGCTCACCATGGGGATCCGAATCCCAAATAGGTTTGTATACTTCAGCTTGCTCTCAAGATGGGAATACACAAGAGCTGTGCCTGCTCAGGGATGGCCCCAGCAGGCCTGGCTCTTTGCTGCCTGTGAGCGTTGGCCTCAGCTTCACAGAGAAACTGGACACATGGTTGGGGTGGAAAAGCAGGGATGGCCAAGGTCATCCTTTACTCCAGTGGGAGTGGGTGCTCATCACATTCCCTCCCTTCACTAACAGACAACCAGCGTGGGAGGACAGCGATGCCTACATGTCTCTTGGAGTTAGGCACCGGCGCTGTGATGCCAGTGATTGCCGTTACCCCGGCGGCAGGGAGCAGGCAGAGAGAGTGGGGTGAGTTTCCTCAGCAGCCCTCTGGGGCTCGGCTTGGGATCGCAGCCTCACCACAGGCTGGGAGAGCACAGACTGGGCACCAGAGCTGTGCCGGGCGCTCCCTGGCTCAGCTCACTTTGTCCTCACGGCCACAACCCGTTTGTTTCCCCAGGCCCTGGCAGCTGCTCCTCTGCAGCTCCTGTGCCGCACAAGGCACTCACCGGTGCTGCTCCAACTTGAGTCACAGCACAACCAGCTGGGAGTGCAGTGCCTGTGCTGGAGAGGACACCGGTAAGAGGCAAACGGCCGTGTGTGGCTGGGCTGGGGCCAGGCGAGGTTTTGCTCAAATCCCTTTCACCCTTGAGGAATGGGACCCTGTCCCACCGCAGGGCTGGAGATCTGTCCTGCTCACCTTCCTGTCTCCCCTTACAGCTTCCAGCACCAATTTGGACACTGCTGGCCCCAACACCATCAGCCAGCAGGGACTGGGGCCATCCCAAGGCCCCATAGGACAGGACAACAGCAGCTCTGGCACCACCAACCAACCAGATCATGATTCCCAGGTGCCTGAGCTGCTCTCCAGGCAGACACGGCGGGCCCGGACTCGAAGCCGCTCGCCTCTGGAACATCGGGCTGCAGAGACCAACAGCCAGCCCCAAAGACGCCGCAGGAGGCGTGGGCCAGCCTGGGGGCGAAGCCGCTCCCGGGTTCCGCGTGGGGCCCAGAACATCAACCGCCGGCCCCACTGATGTTGCGGGAGCTGCTGCGTGCAAGCTCCAATTGCTATCCAAAGTCATCCATAGTCCATCACAATAAAACAGAATTCCATCATCTGTCAGTTTTGTTCTTCTCTGCCTTTCCTGACTCAAGGCAGCCACGTCCTGCCTACCTGCACACCACGTCCTGCCCACATGCCCAGCCATCCTGGATCCAACGTCAGAACGCGATTCCCCACAGCCGGCCCCAGTGACGGGAGCAGCCGCGCACAAGCCCCCCGTGCTGCCCCCGGGCCCCAGCGGCCATCACAACAAAGCTGGGGCATCCCACGCGCCTTTCCCGGTTTCGTTCATCTCTGCCTTTCCCAAGGCAGGCGGCATTACGGGCTGGGACCACGGGGCCGCCTTCCCTACTGGGCTTGGCGGCACCTTGCCCAGACCGCGGCCAAGACAGCTCTCTGGCGCCTGATAGCTGGACTGCCATCATCTAACCAAATACTCGAAACATCATTGACCTTTCATTAGTAACCTTCGGCAGCTCCTATCACACGGCAAACCCCCCGCCGTCCCCGATGCGAACCAGCCCCGCCGGCTGCCGAGTCAGTCCCGCCCTGCGAGGGGCGGGCAGGCGGCGTGACGCGGCTGGCGCGGGGCGAGCGTGCGGCGGCGATGAGCATGGGGTGAGCGGGGCTGGGGGCCGCGGGGGCTGCGGGCGGCGGCTCGGGGCTTGCGGGCGGCGCGGGGCTGCGCGGAGCG